TATCTGTGGTAAATGCCCTGTCAGAGCGACTTCTGCTGACCGTACGTCGGGATGGCAAGGTTTACGAGCAGGAGTATCGCGACGGTGTCCCCCAGGCACCGGTCAGAGAAGTTGGCGAAACTACCCAGAAAGGCACCGAGTGTTATTTTAAGCCTTCTCCTGAAACCTTTCCTAACCCGGTTTTTCAATACGAAATATTGGCAAAGAGACTGCGCGAACTGGCCTTCCTTAATTCAGGTGTACGCATCAACCTGATTGATGAACGCACTGGCAAAGAGGACCTTTTTTACTATGAAGGTGGCCTGAAAGCGTTTGTTGAATACCTGAATCGCAATAAATCCACTGTAAACGAAGAGTTTCACTTCAACATCCAGCGAGAAGATGGCATAGGTGTTGAGGTTGCGATGCAATGGAATGACTCTTTTCAGGAGCAGGTATTCGCTTATACCAACAATATCCCTCAAGGAGACGGCGGCACCCATATGGCAGGCTTCCGGGCAGCCCTGACTCGAACTTTAAATACGTATATAGAGCGCGAAGGGTTGCTGAAAAAAGCACAGGTCACCACAACGGGTGATGATGCTCGTGAGGGCCTAACCGCAGTGGTATCCGTAAAGGTACCAGACCCTAAATTTTCTTCGCAGACGAAAGAGAAGCTTGTCTCCAGCGAAGTGAAAACAGCGGTAGAGCAGGAGTTGTACAAATACTTCTCTCAATACCTGGAGGAGCGCCCACAGGATGCTCGCGCTTTAGTTGGAAAAATGATTGATGCGGCTCGCGCCCGCGAAGCGGCGCGCAAAGCCCGAGAAATGACCCGCCGCAAAGGTGCGCTGGATATTGCAGGGTTGCCCGGTAAGCTTGCTGATTGCCAGGAAAAAGACCCCGCTCTCTCTGAACTGTTCCTGGTGGAGGGCGATTCAGCGGGAGGCTCAGCGAAACAAGGTCGAGACCGAAGGACTCAAGCCATACTGCCTTTACGGGGCAAAATCCTGAATGTTGAGAAAGCACGCTTTGACAAAATGCTGGGCTCTCAGGAGGTTGGTACGCTGGTCACGGCGTTGGGCTGCGGTATTGGTCGGGATGAGTTCAATATAGATAAGTTGCGCTATCACAGCGTAGTGATCATGACCGATGCGGATGTGGATGGTTCGCACATAAGAACATTGCTACTAACATTTTTCTTTCGTCAGATGCCCGAGCTGCTGGAAAGAGGCCATATCTTTATTGCGCAACCACCTTTGTATAAAGCCAAGAAAGGTAAACAGGAACGCTACGTTAAAGATGATGATGAACTGACAGCATACTTCCTGGAGCTGGCACTGCAGGATGCCAAGCTTTTTGTAAATAACGAAGCGCCGCCCATTCAGGGCGAAGCGTTAGAGACTTTAGTTGTACAAATGCAGGACGTGCTGAAACGCTTAACTCGTCTTGAACGAAAATTTCCTGAAGTGGTCTCTCGGCTCCTTCTGCGCTTGCCAAAAGTAACCCCGGAGATGATGCGGTCTGAGACAGACATGCGGGCTTGGGCAAACAGCTTTTCAAAACTGTTGGAAGATGGGGTGGGCAACAATGCTAGCGTTGAAGTTGAATTTGATAGTGAGCATCAGGTTTATATCCCAATCGTGAATATACTGCTTAAAGGTGCCACGGAACGCCTAATCTTTAATCATGCATTTTTCACTGGTGCAGATTATCGTGCTATAGCATCAACTGTAGATGACTTAGATGAGTTGTTGGGCGAAGGTGCTTACGTTCAGCGTGGAGAAAAAACTGAGGCGATCAGTCATTTCCATGACGCTTATAGTTGGCTTATAGCGGAGGCTCGCCGGGGCGTAGATATTCAGCGTTACAAAGGTCTTGGCGAGATGAACCCTTCGCAGCTCTGGGAAACAACAATGGATCCTGATGTGCGACGCATGTTGCAGGTAACAGTAGACGACGCTATCGGCGCGGATCAGATCTTCACCACGCTGATGGGAGACCAGGTTGAACCGCGTCGAGAGTTCATCGAAACAAACGCATTGTCAGTGGTTAATCTAGACGTCTGAGAGTTGCGCAGTCAGTGTTTTGGCCAATGCCATCAGGTTCGGTGCAACCCATTTGTTCGCCTGGCCTGTTGGTGTTAATCGGGTTTGCTGACCTTTGCCGGTTAAAACCAGACTGGCGTGGCAGCCAGTGGCTTCAGCGGCAAGCAGGTCTTTTTCTGAGTCGCCGACGTACAACGTGTTGGCAGCACGATGTTTCTGCGCAGCCATAGCCGTCTGCAGAAGGCCTGGTTTAGGTTTTCTGCAGTCACAACCCGCATCGGGGTTGTGTGGACAGAAAAACACATCAACCGGGACGCCTCCCGCAGCTTTAATCAGGTTGTTCATTTTCTCATGCATCTGAAGCAGCGTGGCGACGTCGAAATATCCCCTGCCGATGCCAGATTGATTGGTGCAAACGGCAACGGCGAAATGTTGTTGCAGCATCACAATGGCATCAATTGCTGCGGGTATAGGTTGCCACTGGTCCGCGCTGCGGATGAAGTCCGGCGAGTCTTCGTTGATAACGCCGTCCCGGTCAAGCAGTATCAGCTGCAGTGAGTTGTCAATTTTTTGATCCATCGGTCTATTAATTCATTGGTCCAATAAAGAGTGCCATGTCTGAGAATACAATGATGTCACAGATTGTCCGCTGGGGGCTGTGGCTGGCTCAACTTCCTTCGCCGCGCCTGGCCACCCGGCTGGCAGCGCTGACAGCGCGTTTCCTGTTGATCATCGACAGTGATGCGGCAAAGATCAGCCGGGTCAACATACAACTTTGTTTTCCCAAGCTTTCCGAGCGTGAGGTGAGTGTATTGGTCAGGCAGAGCCTGGCTGACATGGTGTTGCTGGTCTTTGAGTTTGCGCAAATGACCCACTGGTCCGAGCAGGAACTGATGGCGCAAATACAGAGTGTTGAAGGAGAAAGTTTATTAAAACAGGCCTACAACAGTGATCGAGGCGTTCTGCTGCTGGTCCCACACTTTGGCAACTGGGAGCTGCTGTGTGCTTTTCTGGGTTTGAACTATAGCTTTGCCGCACTTTACGCCCCTCCGAAAGTAGCCGCTCTTGAACCCGCGATTCTTGCAACGCGGGAACGTTTTGGTGGTGAACTGTTTGCGATTGATACGGCAGGAATGCGTAGCATCCTGCGGGTGCTTAAAAAGGGCAAACTTGTGGCTATTTTGCCGGACCAGGTGCCGGATCGTAGTGCAGGTGTTTATGCCGACTTCTTTGGCCACCCGGCGCTGACCATGAGTCTGGTTCATCGCCTGATTGATAAGACCGCGCCCGATGTGATTATTGGTTCGGTTCAGCGTAAGAAAAGTGAGGACGGCTGCGGCTATGTTGCGCGGTTTGAATCTCTTGTTGAGTCGATAGAAGGTCTGGATGCCCAGGGTTGTGCTGAAGTTCTGAACCGCAGCATAGAGCGGGTAGTGAGAAGAGCGCCTGAGCAATATCAGTGGGAATATAAACGCTTCAAGCGACCACCATCGGGTGGCCGAGACAACGTTTATCGGCGCCAGTAGGCGGGTGTCAGCAGAACCAGCAAGGTAAATATTTCCAGCCGCCCCAGCATCATGGTAAACATCAGTAGCCACTTAACGGATGCCGGTAGACTTGCGTAATTCAGCGCAACGTCGCCCAGACCCGGGCCAAGATTATTCAAGCTTGCCCCAACGGCAGAAAAAGCAGTGACAAAATCGAGGTCGCCAATCAACATAACAGCGGTGACCATCAGCAGAAAGACGATCACATAAACGCTGAAAAAACTCCAGACCGCTTGTATCAGGCGATCTGAAACCGGCGCATTGTTGAGTTTGATTGGGAAGACGCCGTTGGGATGAATCAGGCGCTTAACTTCGCGCATGCCCTGCAGATAAATCATCAGCACCCTAATCATCTTGATGCCACCAGCAGTCGATCCAGCGCAACCGCCTGCAAATGCGGCTAACAATAAAAGTATGGGGGTGACTGAAGGCCACAAACTGAAGTTCTGGGTAGTGAAACCGGTAGTGGTTGCAACAGAGATGGTTTGAAACAATCCGTCACGGATCGGCGAGACACCGGGCAACGGATGTCTGTACAACACCCAGATGACAATAGCGGCGACGGTGGCCAGCACGGCCAGGTAGGTTTTTACTTCTGCGTCCTGAAAATAGTGTAATGGGTTGCGCCTGCGCCATACGAGGAAGTGCAGACCGAAGTTGATGCCTGAGAGCAGCATGAAAACAATTGCCACAGATTCGATTAATGGGCTCGCGAAGTAGCCCATGCTGGCATCGTGGGTTGAGAAGCCGCCAATAGCCACCGTGGAAAAGCTGTGGCTGATGGCATCAAACGGCGTCATGCCAGCGGCCCAATAAGCCAAGCCACAGGCGATGGTCAGGCTCAGATAGATGTACCACAACGCTTTTGCGGTTTCGGTGATGCGTGGCGTCAGTTTGTTATCTTTCAGCGGTCCTGGTGATTCAGTTCGATACAACTGCATGCCACCGATGCCCAACATCGGGAATATGGCGACCGCCAGAACAATGATGCCCATGCCACCCAGCCACTGCAGTAACTGTCGATAAATGAGCAGGGACTTGGGCAATTCATCAAGGCCGGTGATCACCGTTGCGCCGGTTGTGGTTAAACCAGACATGGACTCGAACGCAGCGTCTGTGAAGCTCAAGTTGGTGGAGTCGGCAAAATATAGAGGGATTGCGCCAAACAGACCCAGGCCGATATAGAACAAAGCGGTGATCAGAAAGCCATCGCCGCCGCGCAATTCACGGTTGCCGCGTAGGGGCAGCCACAAAGCCAGACCAACCACGAGGGTGATGATGAACGCTAAACCGAAAGTAGTGGTCGTGTTCTCACCATAGGCCAGACCCAACAGGCCCGGGATTAGAAAGGTGAAACTGAAAAACGTCAGGAGCGTACCGATAACGCGAAAAATAACCGCAAGATGCATAGTATGTCAGGCGCCGCTCAGAAGAACGAAACGCCAACCTGAAACAGCTTTTCGACAGCGCGCACCTGACGTTTGTCGACAAGGAAAAGAATGACGTGATCGTCAGACTCAACCAGCACATTGTCATGCGCAATGAGTACTTCGTTACCCCTTACGATGGCGCCAATTGAGCAACCGTTAGGCAGGTCTATTTCACTGATGCGGCGCCCCACTACCTTTGAGTTTTTAGAGTCGCCATGGGCGATTGCCTCAATCGCTTCTGCTGCGCCCCGCCGCAGACTGTGAACGCGAGCAACATCCGCACGCCTGACGTGAGATAACAAAGTGCTGGTAGTGGCCTGTTGCGGGCTGACCGCGATATCAATTTCGCCCCCTTGGACCAGATCGACGTAAGCTGGCTTGGAGATAAGAGTGATGACCTGGCGTACGCCCAGGCGCTTAGCCATCAGCGACGACATGATATTAACTTCGTCGTCGTTGGTGACCGCGCAAAAAGCGTCACACTGTTCTATGTTTTCTTCTAACAACAAGTCTCTGTCGGTGGCATTGCCCTGCAGCACAACGGTTTTGGTCAGTTGATCTGCGAGAAATTTAGCGCGTGGTTCGCTGTATTCCAGAAGTTTAACGGCGTAGTTGTTTTCCACAGCTTGGGCAAGTCGTGCGCCAACATTGCCGCCTCCGGCGATCATGATACGTTTGAAGGGTCGTTCTACTTTGCGTAGTTCTGCCATCACCGCATCGATGTGTTCTCGTGCAGCGATAAAAAACACTTCGTCATCCGCTTCTATAACCGTGTTGCCTTCAGGAATAATCGCCTTTCCCCGCCTGAATATGGCCGCTACCCGTGTATCCGCGTTGGGCATATGTTCACGTAGAAAGCTTAAAGCCTGCCCTACCAGCGGCCCACCGTAATACGCGCGCATTGCGACCAGCTGTACCCGGCCGTCTGCAAAATCCAATACCTGTAGAGCGCCGGGATGTTTCAACAGCTCATGAATGTGATTGGTAACCACCTGCTCCGGGTTTATCAGCACATCAATGGGCATGTGTTCTTTGCTGAAAAATCCCTCTCGGGTGAGGTATGACAAAGATCGGACCCGGGCAATTTTCAGAGGGGTCCGGAACAGCGAATAACATACCTGGCAGGCAATCATATTGACTTCGTCACTGGAGGTGACAGCCACAAGAATGTCGGCGTCATCTGCGCCAGCTCGGCGCAGTACATCCGGATGAGATGCCCAGCCTTGGATCGTTTGAATATCGAGTCTTTCAGCCAACTCCTGCAAGCGGCTCGCCTGTTCATCGACCAGAGTGACGTCAAAAGATTCTTTGGCGAGGTTTTCAGCTAACGTACCGCCAACCTGACCTGCGCCCAGAATAAGAATTTTCATGGAGCTCTCATGTTTTTAAGCAACTTTCTGCAGCCGGGCATAATAGAAACCATCGGTGTTTGGATCGGTAGGTAAAAGCTGCCAGCCGTATTCTGTTGGTTGGCCGGTAGGTAAAGCAATGCTGCACACCTTGGCGTTGTTGTCGGGTTGTTCGATAAACTGGCTGATCACACCATCATTCTCTAACGGCAGGATTGAACAGGTGCAGTACAGCAGAGTACCGCCTGGTGTCAGTGTTCGCCACAGGTTGTTGAGTATCTGCAGCTGCAACGCAGCATGCTCCGCAATAGCTGATTCCTTTAAGAGTAGTTTGATATCCGGATGGCGTCGGATAGTGCCGGTTCCACTGCAGGGTGCGTCCAGCAGGATATGATCAAAATATTCACTGTCCCACCAGCTAAGTGCTGTGGCGTCGCCTACCGTCAGCTTACATGCGTGGCCCAGGCGTGCCAGTACCGCCTCAGTTTGCGCCACTCGTTCCGGGTTGATATCAATGGCGACGATCTCTGGTGGTAAAGATCCGGCATCCGCTGCTGCTGTTTTTGCGCTGCTGATCTCAATGAGATGAGCGAGTTTTCCGCCGGGAGCTGCGCAGGCGTCCAGAATGCGTTGTCGATGCGTTGCTCTGCTGTCTCTGACTTCCGCCCGTCCTGGTCCTTGCACTAATGCCAGCGGCGCGGCAAATTGAGCACCCATGTCCTGCACAGCAACTTCACCTTCAAGCCAACCTGGCAAAGTACTGCTTGGCTGCGCTTGCGCTAAAATAATGCTCTGATCGGCATCGCCTTTGACCGCACTAATATTGTTTTCGATCAATCGTTTGAGATATTCATCACGGCTAGTTTCAGCTAGATTAACGCGCAGAATCATAGGCGCTCGCAGGCCATCGGCTAGCAATATTTCGTCTGCCTGATCGGGCCATGCGTCGCGTACGGCGTCAGCCATCCATGGAGGGTGACCGAACGATTGATCTTGTTTTATGTCAAGGGATGTGACTTTTCGCAAGACGGCATTCACCAGCCCGCGCGCCCAGGGTCGACTGATACAGCTGGTTGCGTTAACGGTTTCATTGATCGCTGCGTGAACGGGCGTATCTGCCAGTTTAAGTTGGTAAGCGCCTACTAACATCAAACTGTAGACCACTGAGTCTTTATCACGCATTGGCTTATTCAAAAGCGGCGCCACCAGCTCAACCAGCGCTGGGTAGTGCCTGATGGTGCCATAAAATAAATGGCGGGTTTCAGGCGACACAAACCAATCTGCCCGGTTGGATAAAACCCAATCTATCGTTCGGTCGTGCTTCGTAACGAGATCGACGCCTTTAGCCGCAAATCCGCGACATTGACGGGAAGTATGCTGTTCGCTCACCTATCAGTTCGCAAAACGTGCGCCGGGGAAAAACAGCTCACTGTACCCGTTAATCGCAGCGGCTGGATCAAGCTCGGTGCCTTTGCCTCGTTCAACTTTTATTCGTGTGATTTGCAACAAATCCGTTGCACACTGAACGATGATGCCACTTTTTGAAACATCAACTAATGTGCCTGCTGGGGTGGCTTCCACACCCGGAAGGTGTTGCTCAATCGGCCGTGCTTCCAATATCTGAACGTGTGCATCGCCGAGCATGCCGCGCACCGGCATGCGTCCGGCCAGGCCACGGATTTTATCTGCAATGGATTTGGCTGATTCGCTCCAATCGATATTTCGATCCGAAGCTTCCAGTTTGTGTGCGTAAGTGGCCAGAGTTTCATCCTGCGCTCTAGGGGCGGGTAGTTTGCGCTTTTCTGCTTTGGATGTGGCGATTGTGGTCAGCACTTCGATTAGAAGTTCACCGCCGGTGTCAGCCAGCTTTTCGGTAAGCTGAGTTGCTGTGGCTGTTGCACCTATGGGTACTTCTACCTGGGCAAACACGGGTCCGGTATCCAAACCTGCTTCCATTGCCATGATGCACACCCCGGTTTGCTCATCGCCCGCCATGATGGCCCGTTCGATAGGTGCTGCGCCGCGCCAGCGTGGTAGTAGTGATGCGTGTACGTTAAGACAGCCGAACTTCGGTATATCAAGTACGGCTTGAGGCAGAATCAACCCGTATGCGGCAACGATAAAAACGTCAGCCTGCTGGTTTTCAAGCAACGCCTGCGCGTCTTTATCGCGTAAACTTTTGGGCTGAAATATTTCTATGCCGGCGGATTCTGCGAGTTGTTTAACTGCATTGGGGCGTACCTTCCTGCCTCGGCCTGTCGGGCGGTCCGGCTGGGTGAATACCGCAGTGGGTTTGAAGGGCGAATTAATCAGGCGTTGCAAGATGCGGGCAGCAAATTCCGGGCTGCCTGCAAAAACGGTTTTAAGCTCAGGCACGTTGTTTCTGTTGTCGCTCAAGCTTTTTGCGAATACGGTTTCGCTTCAAGTTCGAGATGTAGTCGACGAACAGTTTGCCCGCCAGATGATCACACTCATGCTGGATGCAGACCGCCAGCAATCCCTCTGCCTCCATGCTGAACACTTCACCTGTAGGTGTCTGGGCTGTCACGCTGATGCGCTCTGCGCGACTCACCGGCTCATAGAAACCGGGCACCGATAAGCAGCCTTCTTCGGTTTCAAGCAGGGCGCCGTGTACGGTGAACTGTGGGTTAACCAGTATGTGGGGTGCATCGGCGTTATCAGACACGTCCACTGCGATAATCCGCTCATGGACATCAACCTGGGTTGCAGCAAGGCCTATACCCGGCGCGGCATACATGGTTTCCAGCAGATCGTCGGCAAAGCGAACAAGGTCCGGACCAAATTGAGTAACTTCCGCGGCCACCGTTCTAAGGCGCGGGTCGGGGTATTGCAAAATATTCAATAAACTCATGGTGTAAGTAGTGTTGTTAGAGCCTGTGAACTGTCTCTAGTATTGGTCCAAATTGTGCTGCTAAGATGGCGCCGATTATAGCTTTTTGTGCCTATGAGTTTGAAGCAAAGCCTGTTCAGGTCATGGCGACGGTTGTATTCACCTGCAAAGTGCACCCGTAATCAACGAAAACAAAGGATATGTAGCACTGTGAATAAATGTAAGCGCTTACTAACTTCATGCGTACTGTCAATCAGCCTGCTGGTTGGTTTAGCCGCCACTGCCGAAGACATTGGCCAATTCCTCAAACCCGGTCACCCCGATGTGTATACCGTGGTAAAAGGAGACACCTTATGGGACATCAGCGGCACGTTTTTGTCCAAGCCCTGGTTGTGGCCTGAAATCTGGCAGATCAACCCGCAAATTGACAACCCTCACCTTATTTACCCCGGAGACCAGATTGCTCTGGTTTACGTTGATGGCCAACCTCGTCTGCAACTGCGACGCGGTGACGCTGGCCGGACGGTGAAATTAACACCGTCAGACACGGTCAGCCTGCAGCCTCAGATTCGTGCCACGCCGTTGGAGTCTTCGATTCCAGCCATCAGCCTCGATGCAATTCAGGGTTTCCTCGTGCAGAACCGCGTTATTGAACCAGCTGTTTTGGATGCTGCACCTTATATAGTGCAAGGCGAAGCCGAACGACTGGTGCTGGGCGCGGGTGACCGTGTTTATGTCCGAGGCGAGCTGGCAGACAGTGAATCTTTTAACTTTGTGCGCCGCGGACCACTTTATGTGGACCCCGACACACAGGAAATTCTGGGGCGTGAAGCGACTTACATTGGTCTGGGTACAGCAGTGGCTCAAGATGCAGATGTGGCCACCATGGCAGTGACCAGCACCCGCGAAGAAGTACAGATTGGTGATCGCGTATTACCAACAGAAGAACGTCGCGTAGACGCAAATTTCTTTCCCAGTGCCCCTGTTGACGATATCAACGGCGAAATCATCTCAGTATTCAGTGGTGTGACTCAGGTCGGTCAGTACGACGTCGTAGTGATCAATCGTGGTGAACGCGAAAATCTTGAAGTTGGTAATGTGCTGGCGATCTACAAGAAAGGCGCTGTAGCACGCGATCGCATAGCGAATGAAAACATTCGTCTGCCCAGCGAGCGCGCCGGTCTGTTAATGATTTTCCGTACCTTCGACAAATTGTCTTATGGCCTGGTGTTAAACACCGAACGTCCGCTGGCCGTGAGCGACGAGGTTCGTAACCCCTGATAACCTCCAGGCAACTGGTGTTTTTCTGACACCAGTTGCCGTTCAGAGCCCTACACCGGTGTTTTGTACACCGGTAGATTGGGGCGGTGTCTCAACGAAGTCCCACAAACCCGCAAAGCATCAGCGCCGCAAGTGCAAGCACCGCAGCGATCATTGCTTTGCTTGACCAGTATTCACGTCGCCAGATTCTCAAGGCGATGGAGCAATATGTAGATCCTCAAACTGCTTTGCTCGATGGCGGTCTCGCGAAAACCCTCAAGCAGATCGCCCGCGCGCGGTCTAAATCAACGTCGCGCCCTGCGCCAGCGCCCTCATCCTGCGCAGTGGTGGGCTTGTTTGATGTTGATTTTCCACCGCTGTTGAAGATCATTCCTGATCCGCCACTGGTGCTGTATTACCGCGGCGCGATAAAACTACTGCACAATACAAGCGCCATTGCTGTGGTCGGCGCCCGCAGTTGTACCAGCGCTGGAAGATTGCTGGCGCAGCAAATGGCAAAAGATCTGTCGCTCCGTGGGTTGACCATTGTGAGCGGTTTGGCGCTGGGTATAGACGGTGCGGCCCATCGTGGAGCGTTGAGCGCCGTTGAGCTGAATGCCGGCGCGCCTGTAAAGCCAGGTTTGACCGTGGCGGTGCTGGGCAGTGGTTTGAATCACATTTATCCGCAACGTCATCGCCAGTTGGCGGCGGAGATTATCGCGGCCGACGGTCTGCTGTTGTCTGAGTACCCGCCATCAAGAGGTCCCAGGCCACATCACTTTCCTGAGCGCAACCGTTTGATCAGCGGCATCTGCGGGGCGACGGTAGTTATCGAAGCGGGTGAAAGAAGCGGTTCACTTATCACGGCGCGGCTGGGGTTGGAGCAGGGTCGTGATGTTATGGCTGTACCTGGCCCGGTTTCCAGTAGCGTCAGCGCGGGTTGCCACCGCCTCATTCAACAAGGTGCAGCTCTGGTGACTGATGCGGTAGATGTTCTGTTTGCGCTGGGCATCGAAGCCACTGCCGAGAAAAACGAGGACCCAACAGATTCCTTTCACGAAAGCTTGCCACAGATACATTTACCCTCTGAAGAGCACTCACTGGTATTGACTTGTATTCAAGGCCTACCGGTGACGCTGGACGAAGTCTGCCTGCAAACGGGTCTGTCAGCCGATGAGGTCAGTAGTCTGCTTGTGAGCCTGGAACTGTTAGGGTTTGTTCAGCAGGGTCAGCTTGGCTATATTCGCCTGCCGTCTCGCGCCACTTAACACACCGTGACTGTTTTTGTGTCGATCCGCGGTTGTGCCGAACCCTGCTAAAGTAAGTACAATCCGCGCACCTGGAGGGTGCTATCTCGCGTTGAAACAGCAATATGCAGACTACTAAAATAAATCATTATCTTGTTGTCGGGAATCCGATCGCTCACTCCCGCTCACCGCAAATTCATAGCGCCTTTGCCGAACAGTTAGGCGATAAAATTATTTACGATAAGGTGGAAGTTGAATTAGGTGGTTTTGCAAAGTTTGCAGATCAGTTTAAGACCAGCGGCGGCCAGGGTATGAATGTAACTGTGCCGTTCAAGATCGATGCCTATAACTATGTGGACAGAGTTGATGAACATGCACAGGCAGCCGCGGCAGTAAATACCATCAAATTTGGTGTGGACGGCCAAAGCCATGGGTTCAATACTGACGGTATTGGTCTATTGCGCGACCTCACCAACCGTCACCATGTTGATTTGAAGAATAAGCATGTGCTCTTGATTGGCGCTGGTGGTGCTGCACAAGGCGCGCTCCTGCCGTTGCTGCAGGCGGGCATCAGGCGGTTAACGCTGATGAATCGCACGCTTGAAAAAGCGCAAAAGCTCCTGCAGCAACCTGAATTCACTAAAGTCGGAGTGGAACTGTCGGCGCGGCCTCTTAACCTGCAGGATGAACCTGCGGATTTAGTGATTAATGCAACCTCCTTCGGGCTCGGAGATGAACCTGTCCCTTTGCAACCGGGCCTGGTCAACGACGCGTTCTGTTATGACATGAGTTACGGGTCTGCGGCAAAATTCTCCCGCTGGGCGGCTACCGCAGGGGCTCTGATGAGCGTTGATGGTTTAGGTATGTTGGTGGAGCAGGCGGCGCAAAGTTACTTTATCTGGCATGGTCATCATCCCCAAACTCAGCCGGTCTATGATCTATTGCGCAGGGCTGACTTAGCCCCTACCCCTTAGGCACCGGTTAACCCGAAAAAAAGGTCGTCATGACACAGGTAGATATTTTCAAGAAACGCTTTATTGCCGGAGCGGTCTGTCCAGATTGCCAGGCTGTTGATCGTATCGTGGTGGAAACCGGGATGCAGAATGTTGCCGATAGTGACCTCAACGATCCGCATCAGGAAGTCTCTCGACGCCGCTGTGTAGCTTGTGGCTTTGCAGACGAATTCTCCACGGATACCCTGGTCAATTCTCAAGGCGTCCCGCGAGGTAAACCGGAAAGGCCGAAATCCAACCTGGGTCAACCCGCAACGCCTGCCCAGGCGGTCAAGATTCTCGATCCTGTGGTGCGCCCGAAATCCTGAGATTGCAAAATAAGCGCTATCTAGTCTGCTGGTGCGGCTTCAGGATTCGAACGTAAGGTATTTCTTTAGTTATCTTGACGTTATCAGCCATAGTTTCGTGTTGCTGTACGGTCTTGGGTTGCTATAATTGCGCCGCGCTCAGTGCTGGCTTCAATAGTGACAGCCTGGACAACGCGTCGAGCGTAAATGGGGATATAGACCTTCTGATGCAAATCAGCTGTATAGTCTATAACTAAGAGCGAAATACCTAGTGGTTTATCTGGCCTGAAAATACGTCGACAGACGGGTTGGCTTGCGCACTTTAAGAATTGCGGCTTCAGCAGCATCGGCCGTGCGCTTGTTCAGTGGCAAACACGGAGACAGTCCGTTGATCACCGGTACTCAGACTCATGCGCCGGTAAGTGATGTGCGCATTGGACAGACACAAATTGTGGAACATATGGGATGAAACAAAGAATTAGTGTTGCAGGCGGCCTGCTCAGCTTATTGATGGCTGGCGTGGCAACTGCCGACGAATTAAACCTGCGCCCGGGCGTCACGGATATCAGCCAGCAGGTCTACGACCTGCACATGACCATTTTGTGGGTGTGTGTAGTGATTGGCATTGCAGTATTTGGTGTGATGTTCTGGTCCGTTGTTCATCACCGCCGTTCTGCGGGTTATGAAGCAGCTAAGTTCCATGAAAGCACCAAGCTTGAACTGGCCTGGACCATTGTGCCTACGCTGATTCTGATAGGCATGGCCATACCGGCAACCCAGGTACTGGTGGCGATGTACGACACCGGCGGCGAAGACATGACGGTAGAGGTGCGCGGCTATCAGTGGAAGTGGCAGTACAAATACCTGGACGATGATTACAACAACACCTTTTCGTTTTTCTCCAATCTGGCGACCACCCAGGACGAAATTCGAAATGTCAGTAATAAAGGTGAGAACTATCTGCTTGAAGTAGATAACCCTCTGCGGATCCCCATGAACCGCAAAGTTCGCTTTCTGATTACTGCTGAAGATGTTATCCACGCCTGGTGGGTACCTGACTTTGGCATCAAGCGCGATGCCGTACCGGGCATGTTGAATGAGTTATGGACCGTTGTAGAAGAGCCCGGTATCTATCGCGGCCAGTGCACAGAGCTGTGTGGCAAAGACCATGGCTTTATGCCCGTTGTGGTAGAAGTCATGGAAGAGGCAGATTTTGATGCCTGGTATGCAGAAGAAGTTGCCAATGAGAGCGTCCGTCAGGAAGCGCTGAGCAAAACCTTCACCCACGAAGAGCTGATGGTGAAAGGTGAAGAGGTCTACGGCACCTTCTGTGCAAGTTGCCACCAACCCAACGGACAGGGTTTGCCCCCCGTATTCCCGTCTCTTGTGGGTAGCCCCTATATAGTCGGTCCACGCGATGATCATATAAAAATGGTCATTGAAGGTGTACCGGGTACAGCCATGCAGGCGTTCGGGCGACAGCTTGATGCCGCGCAACTTGCAGCGGTGGTGCACTACGAGAGGCACTCCTGGGGTAACGATTCAGACGACATCACTCAGCCACGTGATGTCATAGAGCTATCTGGCGAATAAAGAGGAAGTTATGAGCGAAGTCATACACGCAGGTCACCACGATGACCACCACGATCACGGGCCAGATAAAGGGTTAGCTCGCTGGCTGTTTACAACCAACCATAAAGACATCGGTACCCTGTACCTGTGGTTCAGTTTCACCATGTTTCTGATTGGTGGCGTCATGGCGCTGATCATTCGCACGGAGCTGTTCCAGCCGGGGCTGCAGTTTGTGAACCCTGAATTTTTTAACCAGATGACCACAAATCATGGTCTGATCATGGTTTTCGGTGCCATCATGCCGGCCTTTGTGGGTCTGGCAAACTGGCTGGTGCCAATGCAGGTGGGTGCGCCGGATATGGCCCTGCCGCGAATGAACAATCTGTCGTTCTGGATCCTGCCATTTGCCTTCGGCATTATGATTTCTACCCTGTTCATGGAAGGCGGCGGTCCTAACTTCGGCTGGACTTTCTATGCGCCGTTATCCACGACTTATGCGCCAGATTCTGTAACGTTTTTCATCTTTGCTGTTCACCTTATGGGTGCCTCTTCAATCATGGGTGCGATCAACATCATCGCAACCATTCTGAACATGCGTGCGCCGGGTATGACCCTGATGAAAATGCCACTGTTCATCTGGACCTGGCTGATCACCGCCTATCTGTTGATTGCGGTTATGCCGGTGCTTGCAGGCGCAGTGACAATGATGCTGTTTGATATTCACTTCGGTACCAGCTTCTTTAATGCAGCTGGCGGCGGCGATCCGGTGATGTTCCAGCATATTTTCTGGTTCTTCGGGCATCCTGAGGTGTACATCATGATTCTGCCGGCATTTGGCATCATCTCGCACATCATTCCGGCATTTGCCCGCAAAACACTGTTCGGTTACGACTCAATGGTCTACGCGGTGGCCTCCATTGCGTTCCTGTCGTTTATCGTCTGGGCGCACCATATGTTCACCGTGGGTATGCCGTTAGCCGGGCAGCTGTTCTTCATGTACACCACCATGCTCATCGCGATTCCCACAGGTGTGAAAGTGTTCAACTGGACCGCCACCATGTGGCAGGGTTCAATGACCTTTGAAACACCCATGCTGTTTGCCATCGCGTTTGTGGTGCTGTTCACCATTGGTGGCTTCTCGGGCCTGATGTTGGCAATCACACCAGTTGATTATCAGTATCACGATACCTACTTTGTTGTGGCGCACTTCCACTACGTATTGGTACCTGGCGCGCTGTTCTCGATCATTGCAGCGGTTTACTTCTGGTTCCCGAAATGGACCGGAAAAATGTACAACGAAACGCTGGGCAAGCTGCATTTCTGGTTGTCGTTTATCGGCGTGAACATCACGTTCTTCCCGCAGCACTTCTCGGGTCTGGCGGGCATGCCTCGACGGATTCCGGATTACCCGCTGCAGTTTGCAGACTTCAACATGGTGTCTTCAGTAGGCGCGTTTATTTTCGGCTTTTCGCAGCTGTTCTTCCTGTATGTCGTTATCCATGGCATACGATCAGGTCAGCCTGCAAAAGCACGCGCATGGGAAGGTGCAAAAGGACTGGAGTGGACGTTGCCCTCGCCTGCGCCTTATCACAGCTTCACCCAACCGCCTAAAGTGACGGACGAAGAAGTACACGCTTGAAACGAAGCGTAAACAGTTTAGAAACAGGTTAAGAGCACAGTCTTATGAGCACAGGCGCGCAAAGTTCGGAGATCAAACGTACCGTACGCAAGTTATGCCTCATTGTTTTGGGCATGGCTGCGTTTGCCTGGGCTTTAGTGCCCCTGTATGACCTGTTCTGTGAAATTACCGGCCTGAACGGTAAAACCGGCGGTCCCTATACCTACGATCCGGCGGCGACGTCGCCGGATACCTCCCGTTTGGTCAAGGTGAATTTCATCACTAACACCAATCAGGGCATGGTGTGGGACTTCTGGTCAGAAAAAGGTGGTGTGCGTGTTCATCCAGGTGAACTCAAAGAAGTTAACTTCTACGTCAGGAACACCACCGACAGGGTGATGGTCGGCCAGGCGATTCCTTCGCTGGTGCCGGTATCAGCCACGCAGTACTTTCATAAAACAGAATGCTTTTGCTTTAACCAGCAAATTTTGCAGCCCGGTGAAGAAATGGTTATGCCGATGCGCTTCATCGTAGGCCGGGAACTGCCGAAAAACGTGCAGTCCATCAATTTGAGTTACGCTCTTTTTGACATCACTGAAGCCATGGGTGATGCCGTCGTCACTGGTGGATAATCACCAGGTTTAGAGCCAAGGGAATATTGGAGAATACAATGGCAAATGCTGATACAGATCAATCGGTCTACTACGTACCCCACAGTGGTTGGTACCCGGTAGTACTCGCCGCGGGCCTGATGCTAACGGTCACGGGCCTCGCGAGCTGGTTGATTGATACCAAAGCGGGTGAACCGCATACCTGGACACAAAGCATCATTGGCTTTGCCATGGTCTCTTTTGTTCTTTACTGCTGGTTCGGCAAAGTGATTGCGGAAAATCAGCAGGGTCTTGCCAACGAGCAGCTCAAGCGGAGCTACGTTTGGGGTATGGGTTGGTTTATTTTCTCCGAAGTCATGTTTTTTGCAGCATTTTTCGGCGCGCTGTTCTACACCCGCGGCATTGTTGTGCCCTGGTTGGGTGGCGAGGGTGCAAAAGGCATTGTAGGTGATTACCTCTGGCCTGAATTTGATGCGACCTGGCCAGTCATGAGCAATCCTGATGCAACAGCGTTCCCGGGGCCTGGTCAGAATATGCAGGCACCGTCTGTTTCCAGCTGGTATGCCTATCTGCCCTTCTGGAACACAGCAATTCTTTTGTTTTCCAGTGTCACCATTCACTGGGCCCACTCTGCAATAAAAGCGAACAACCGCAAAAAGCTGATTGGCTGGCTTGGCTTTACGGTACTCCTGGGCATCATTTTTGTTGGCCTGCAGATTGAAGAATACGTCATTGCCTACACCGAGATGGGTCTGACGCTGGCCAGTGGTATCTACGGCTCAACCTTTTTCCTTCTGACCGGATTCCACGGTTTCCACGTAACGCTGGGTACAATTATTTTGATTGTGCAGCTTTATCGTGCAATCAAAGGACACTTCAACTCGAAAGACTGCTTTGGCTTTGAAGCAGCCAGCTGGTACTGGCACTTTGTTGACGTGGTGTGGGTCGGACTATTTATCTTCGTCTACGTTTTATAAGCGAGTAGTACTCAGAAGAAGGTCTTAAAAGGGGGCAATACAGCCCCCTTTATTGTCTCAGCTGCGCGATCAGGCGTTAGTCGACTTGCGCATCTGCTTCACTCTTTTCTTCCAGCAGTTGCTGCGTTGCGTTATGCCACGGCGCGTTAGTGCCGATACGCAACTGGCCGGTATAAAAACCGTAAAATATTGTTAGAAGCAGCGCGCCAGCCAGGGTGATGCGTACACCCAGTGCGTAAAGTGTCCGTTTTGAATCAGCACGGCCCGTATCTTTAAACAGAAATACCAACCCGGAGAACAAGCTGATGACGACGCCAATCAGCAGAACAACGATAATGACTTTCAGCAAAGCAGTCGCCTTTAAAAATGAGCGCGCACTTTAAACCATTGTGTGTGAAGGGTTAAGCAAGTGAAACATTTTGCTCCGGGCTGGCGTATGACTCTGTTTGTCGTGATTCTTCTGCCAACAGTGCTAACTCTGGGTGCCTGGCAGTTATCCCGGGGTGCAGAAAAACGCGCACTGGAAAGTGACTATTTGGATCGTCTGACAAGTTTGCCCGTACGAGCAGCAGAATTTGATCCCAACGTGCGCTTTCAAAGGGTAAAATTATCCGGCGAGTTACAGCCACAGGTTTTTCTGGTCGACAACCAGATTCTCAATGGTAAAACCGGTTACTGGGTATTGCAGCTGTTTATCGAAACCCAGGGCAGGCGGTTTATTGTGAATCGCGGGTTTCTTGCAGCGCAAGCCAGGCGTGACCAGCTACCCGAGGTACCTTTGTTGCCCGGTCGAGTGGAACTGCTGGGTGTTGCGTGGCCCTATACGGGTCTGATTCCAGTTTTAGACGATGATCCATGGCCGGACACATGGCCTAAGCGTGTGCAGCGCCTGGATATAAAACGCATGGCTCAGGTGTTGTCAGCGGAGCCGGTAGAGGTTCGACTGGAACCTGGACAGTCCGGCGTGCTTCAAGCCGCGCCTTTTGCCCAGGTCCTCAGTGATGCCAAACACAGGGGATACGCGGCAACCTGGTTTGGTCTGGCCATTACGCTGTTGATTGGCTATGTGTTTCTGGGCATCAGGAATGCCAGAGAAAATGATAATTAAAGGTAAGTGTTCATGAGTGAAACCTCGAACGATTCAGGATCCGCCCAGGCAGCAGCGGCGCAGCGGCGTAATCGACTGCAGCTGCTCGGCATTATGATGATCGGGTTTTTAACCCTGGGGGGCTCCTATCTGATGTTCTACCTGGCGCAGGACTCCGACGGCTGGGGTACCACTAACAACGGCACGTTTGTGCAGCCAGTCATCACGACAGCGGAACTGGGCTGGCAGGTAGAAGGTAATACCCGACGCTGGTGGTTATGGGTGGTGAGCCCTGACTGCACTGCAGATTGCCAACAAACGGTGCAGCATATGCAGGCACTGCACATCCTGTTGAATCGGGAGATGGATAGGGTGCGTCGTGGTTACACCGCAATCGGTGTAACGGAACAAACCCGCCCACAGTGGATGACCCCGTTTCCGGAACTGGCAATGATAGATATTGCAGATGCCTCACCTCTGACCGAGGGCGTCTATATTGTCGACCCCAATGGCAATCTGGTTTTTCACTACAGCATGGACACCAACCCCAAACTGGTGCTCCAGGACCTCAAGAAGTTATTAAAGGTATCTCACATTGGTTAGTCAGCGCGTTCTCAATTTGAATCGACTCGGCCTGGTGCTGGTTGTTTTTGTTGTTGTTTTAGGTGCCTTCACCCGCCTGGTGGATGCGGGGTTGGGCTGCCCGGATTGGCCGGGTTGTTATGGTCATCTGAAGTGGCCTGATACTGCCGAAGAAGTGGAGCGAGCTGAAATGCTGTTTCCGGAAGCTCCGGTGGATCATGCCAAAACCTGGCCAGAGATGGTGCATCGCTACTTTGCCGGTGCGCTGTTACTGGTTGTATTGGCTCTCACCGTGATTGCCTGGCGGGATAATCCGCCGAATAAAATCCGCGAGATCAGCACCGCACTGCTGGTTCTGATTATTTGCCAGGCTGCGTTCGGGGCCTGGACGGTGACTTTGAAACTCTGGCCCCAGGTGGTGACCGCCCACTTGATGGGCGGTTTTGCGACCTTCAGTCTGTTGTGGGTACTGTATCTGCGCCAGGGAGGTGGCCGCCTGCTCTGGCTGGCGCAGGCCCAACGTTTGAATTTGAAGCGGCATGCGCAGCTGGCGCTGGGGCTGGTGGTTGCGCAGATTGTGCTGGGGGGCTGGGTTGCGTCGAACTATGCTGCACTGGCCTGCGCTGATTTCCCGACCTGTTACGGCAGCTATACGCCGACCATGGATTTCGCCGCCGGATTCAATTTTTTTCAGCATGTTGGCCCGAACTACCTTGGTGGCCTGCTGGATAATGAAGCGCGCATCGCGATACATTGGACCCATCGCCTGGGTGCGCTGGTGGTGATGGTTGCTGTGGCCGCGCTGGCCTATCGCCTCTGGTCTGGAAATCGTTTTTTGGCAACATTGACCTTCACGCTGCTGGCCTTCCAGCTGGGTCTGGGCATCCTCAATGTCGTGTGGAGTCTGCCATTGGGGATCGCTACCGCGCATAACGCCTTTGGTGCGCTCTTGCTGTTAGCTATGGTTACAGTAAACTTTGCGCCCGCTGTCGACGACGCCAATATGCAGGCGCGGAAATAACTGTAAGAGACATAACTATGAGTGAAGCCGTCACCAACGCCGCCGGCTGGCGAGACTATCTCGAAATGACCAAACCCCGCGTGGTTCTGCTCATGCTGCTGTGTGCCCTGGTGGGTATGTTTCTGGCAACATCAGGCAGTGTGCCTCTGGACACATTGGTTCTGGGTCTTACAGGTATTGGCCTGGTTGCGGGTTCTGCAGCGGTGGTGAACCATATTGCGGATGCGCACATAGATGCGCGCATGGCGCGTACCCAGAGTCGTCCCGTTGCAACCGGACGCTTGAGTGCTACCCAGGGCATCTTATTTTCCGCAGTCATCGGCCTGGCCGGTATGGCGATTCTGTATTTTGGTGTGAATCCGCTGACTGCCTGGCTCAATCTCGCATCCTGGGTAGGTTACGGCCTGATCTATACCTTCTGGCTGAAGCGCGCGACACCACAGAATATAGTGATTGGTGGTCTGTTTGGTGCGGCACCGCCGTTGTTTGGCTGGACCGCGGTTACCAACAGCATCGATCCAGGTGGCCTGCTTCTGGTGCTGATTATTTTTGCCTGGACGCCCCCGCATTTCTGGGCTCTGGCGCTCGAACGTAAAGAGGAATATGCCAAGGTTGGTGTGCCCATGTTGCCGGTGACCCATGGCGAGTCGTACACACGTCTGCACATTCTTCTGTATACCATCATCCTGATTATCTCGACCATGCTGCCTTTTGTTATCGGTATGGCCGGGTTGCTCTATCTGGCTGGTGCGTTAGCGCTGGGTGCGGGTTTTCTGTATTGGGCGATTGTGTTGCTTCGTGACACCAATCCCCGCGCACCAATGGAAACTTTTCGTTATTCCATTGTCTATTTAGGGCTGCTGTTTGGATTTCTGTTGGCCGACCACTATCTGTTTACCCTGAGTCTGCAGCCCGCGCCGGTATACGAGTTCCAACAGATATCCGCCTGATACGCAGTTGACCAGGCTTGGCAAAAGTCTGGCTGAATCAGATCCGATGAAAGAGTAGGAAGTAAAATGTCTGCAGTTGGTCGTACCGTACTTTTGTGTGGTGTATTCATTACCCTGGTCGTCAGTATGTTTGTTTACAGCACGCTGCAGACCCCCCAGCTCAGTGATGATGAGCTGCGCGAACAGGGCGTGTTCCTGATGCCTCGGCCCCGGGATATTGCACCTTTTGCGCTGCAGGACCATCTGGGTCAGGTATTCGACAATTCGCGATTATTAGACCAGTGGACCTTTGTATTTTTCGGCTTTACCCACTGTCCTGATATCTGCCCCACTTCAATGTCTGAACTGGGGCAGGTGGACACCCAGCTACGTCAGGCCGGCGGCGAGCTTGAAGCTGGATTTCAGGGCGTGCTGGTGACGGTTGATCCGGAACGGGATACACCTGAGATTCTGGGTCAATATGCCACTGCCTTCTCCCCACGCTTTCTGGGTGTCTGGGGAGAGCGCGCGCCGACAGCTGAATTTGCCCAACAGGTGAATGCTGTGTTTGCCAAAATGCCCGCAGATGATGGCGGCTATACCATGGACCATACGGGCAACATCATCATCATCAACCCGCGCGGACACTATCACGGGTTCATAAAGTTGCCGCATGAAGCTGAGACTATTAGGCTTGCCTATCAATCTTTAGCTGCTCGGTTTTAAGGCCGAGCCTACCGCTCGAATTAACAAGGAGCGTTATGCGCGTTGATCCTGACCCCCCGCGGTCAGAAGAAACGGTGACCGCAGATGACCTGCAGAACCGTTATCATCAGGTACGCCAGCAGTCGATGGTGCTGTGCGAGCCCCTGGCCATTGAAGACTTCGGCGTGCAGCCGATGGATGATGCGAGTCCACCCAAATGGCATCTGGCACATACCGCGTGGTTCTTTGAAACCTTCATCCTGAAACAGCAGATGCCTGGATATCAGGCATTTCATCCTCAATTCGAATATCTGTTTAATTCCTACTACAACGGAGTAGGACAGCCATATCCGAGACCGGCACGAGGGTTTCTTTCCCGGCCAACGGTTGCCCAGGTGATGGAATATCGCGACCACGTGGATCAGCATATGAATCTGTTGCTCGAGGCTGGTGTTGATGATGGCATCGCCGCTCAAGTGGTGCTGGGTCTACATCATGAGCAGCAGCATCAGGAGCTGATGTTGACGGATATCAAATACAACTTTGGCCATAATCCGCTACTGCCTGGTTATCGCGAGCGTAGCCCGGTTGAGTCTGCTCCGCTTTCAGGTTCACCATCGGCATCCACTTATACCGAATATGAAGGTGGCATTGTTGAGATTGGTGCGGGTAATGGTTTTGCGTTCGACAATGAAACACCGCGTCACCCTGTGCTGCTGCAGGCATTTCAACTGGCCGATCGCCTGGTCACCAATGGCGAGTATTTATCTTTTGTGGAAGACCGCGGTTATGCGCGTCCGGAACTCTGGCTGTCGGAAGGTTGGTCTGCGGTGCAGGCACAGGGATGGCAAGCCCCCCTCTACTGGCAACAGCGCAATGGCGTCTGGCATGAATATCGTTTGGATGGTTGTCATGAGCTTGTGCTGCATATGCCGGTTACCCATGTGTCAGGGCATGAAGCGTTTGCCTTTGCCCAATGGGCGCAGGCTCGGCTGCCAACTGAATTTGAGTGGGAGCACGCTGCAAGCAGCGCAGCTGTTGACGGTCATTTTGTTGAAGCGCAGTACTTCCATCCACAGGCCGCTGCAGATCAGGATGGCGTTCAGCAGTTGTATGGTGATGTCTGGCAGTGGACCGCCAGTAGTTATGCGCCCTACCCTGGATACCACCCGTTACCCGGCGCTTTAGGGGAATACAATGGTAAGTTCATGAGCAGCCAGCTGGTTTTGCGTGGCGCTTCCTGTGCAACGCCCAGGTCGCACGCGCGCCTGAGCTATCGCAACTTCTTTTATCCACCGGACAGGTGGCAGTTTACTGGGATACGGTTAGCAAAAAATGTCGAGTAAAGGATCGTATGCGTTTCTGGATAACAAGCCAGCGCAACAGGAAATGGCCAGGGAAATACTGGCGGGGTTGAAAGCGCAGCCAAAAACGTTATCACCAAAGTACTTTTACGATGCGCAAGGCTCGGCGCTGTTTGATCGCATCACAGAACTTGATGAGTACTATCTGACCCGTACAGAAATGGCGCTGTTTGATGCGCATCTGGACGACATAGCTGAACATCTCGGTGGCAACGTCTGCCTGATTGAGTATGGCAGTGGCAGCTCCGTCAAAATCCGTAAACTCCTGCAAGCAGTGACACCGGCAGCCTATGTGCCGGTAGATATATCTGATGAACACCTGCAGGCCAATGCCCAGGCCTTACATGAAGATTTCCCGGCGCTGAACGTTTTACCTGTTTGTGCCGACTTTACCCAGCGTTTTGAGCTGCCTGATGCAGTTGCAGATATGACAAAAGTCGGGTTTTTCCCGGGCTCCAGCATTGGCAATTTTGATCCTCAAGGTGCGCAGAATTTTTTGCAGAATGTTCACGCAACAGTGGGTTCCGGTGGGGCTCTGCTGGTTGGTGTGGATCGAAAGAAATCTGTTAGCGTGCTGGAACAGGCTTACAATGACAAACACGGTGTGACGGCAGCTTTCAATTTAAATGCCCTGTCTCATATCAACAAGGAGCTGGACGCCAACTTTCAGCCTCAACAATTTTCCCATGTGGCAAGCTACAACCCGAAACTGGGCTGTATACAGATGTTTTTACGCAGTGAAGTAGAACAGCAGGTAAATATTGCCGGTGAAACCATCCGCTTTTCCAAGGCAGAAAAACTGCATACGGAAAATTCTTATAAATATGATCCGGATGAATTTCTGGCGTTAGCAGACAGCGCCGGATTCAGCTCGCTGGCTCAATTCAGTGACAGCAAGCAGTATTTTACACTCTATCTGCTACAGGCCCGATAGCACACGTGGATCGATGTAGAAAGCGTGACGCTGATGCTGGGCCACGATACGCTGGAATTCTTCGGGATTTTTAAAGCGTAACCGTTGTGCGTGCTGCTGCTGTAACGCAACGGATAAACGAGACAACCAGAACGTCAGCCCGGCATAGAGGCAGAAGGTAGAGAAAAACCACAGTTCTGCGTCTTCCAGCGGTCGGATCTGGTGGTAAGCCTTTAACATGGCGGTGGTTCGTTCTGCATCGAGTAAACCGCTGGCGTCAGTGCACCAGTCATTTGCAATAACCGCCAGGTCGTATATCCAATAGCCCTGTGCGGCGTGGTGAAAATCCAATACACCGGAAAGTCCGTGTTCATTAAACAGAACATTGTCGCGAAACAGATCACCGTGAATCATTCCCTGAGGCAGCTGCTGTACATCGTTGCGGGCCAGGAGCGAATCAACCTGTTGTAAAGAGGCGTTAAGGAGGGTGCTGCGCGCATAGCCGAGGTAGCCCTGGGTCAGCTGGCTGCGTTCCGCCAGCCAGTGGCGATCGCGAGGATAGTCCGGAAGGATAATGTCGCTCGTCTGCATCTGCAGGTGCATCCGTGCGACAAACCGGGCGATGGCACCAATCTGCCTGCGCGTTGGATTACATACGTGATGACCGGTCAGTCGGGGTTGCAACAGCGCGGGTTTGCCGCAGATATCCTCTACCGCCAGATCAGCCAGGTTGCGTATAGGCGGCGCCACCGGTAGACCACCTTCGAATAGCCTGTCCATCATGCCCACGTAAGCTTCACCTGCGTTGGCGGGCTGTTCCATGATGGTGAGGACAAACTGGCGCTGACGCTGATCGTGATCTGTGGTCACAAAATAGTTACTGTTTTCGATACCGTTGGAAGCAGGCCAGTAACGTTGCAGCTGACCAATATCGTAGCGGGACAGCGCATCTTCAAGATGTGTGTCAGGTAATTCAGTGAGTGCTTGCACGCTAGAATTCCGCGATGACCCACTGGGGCAGCAGCATATCTGCTCGCTCCAAGTCTCCAAAACCGGTGGTGTTGTCTCTTGGCACCAGGTAATAGGGTTTACCCCAGGTGGGAACTACCCGAACCATGCGCAACTGACCGTTCTGGCGGAATTCGTAAATCACTTTGTCTTCCCCGGCGATGATCACCACGTCTGGCCCCTGCAGGGTGATGTCGTTCTCAGCGGCTGTGGCGGTTGTTGTCGAAAAAAACAGCAGAATCGCCATCGCGGACATCACCAGGAGCAGCAAAGCCCGGCTGGAAAAAACAGAAACTTGGGAAACGGGAAAAATGCCCATGGGCTGTAGTACAGTTCGGTTACCAGTGCAGGGCATGGTACGCAAAAGCTTCAGCTGCGCAAAGTCGCAAGCGGGTTATGTGGCAAATTATCTATGCCCGATGATCACAGTACGCAAACACAGTACATAAAAAAGGACACGTATGGCTCAGCAGTTTGACCTGGCGGAAACCAAACCGGTTGTTCTGGTGGACGGCTCTTCGTATCTTTTCCGCGCGTTTTTTGCGCTACCTGAATTGAAGACCACCAAAGGCCACCCAACCGGCGCGATTAGAGGAGTCATCTCAATGATTCGTCGGCTGGTAAAAGACTATGCCGGTAGCCCAATCGCGGTGATTTTTGACGCCCCCGGCAAAACCTTTCGCGATGACCTGTATTCGGAATATAAAGCCAACCGGGAAACCATGCCCGATGATCTGCGCGCACAAATCGAACCGATTCACGAGATTATTCGCGCTATGGGTATTCCGCTGCTGATTGTGCCGGGTGTTGAGGCAGATGATGTGATTGGCACCTTGGCGCAACAGGCGACAGACGCGCAACGCCACACGGTAGTGTCAACCAGCGATAAAGACATGGCGCAGCTGGTGAGCGATCACGTCACCCTGGTAAATACCATGACAGATACCAAATTGGATGCCGACGGGGTGATTGAAAAGTTCGGTGTACCACCGGAACGGATCATCGACTATCTGGCATTGGTAGGGGACACGGCGGACAACATTCCTGGCGTACCCAAGGTTGGACCCAAAACGGCTGCCAAGTGGCTGACTCAATTTGGCACGCTCGATGACATCATGACGCGTGCCGATGAAGTCGGCGGCAAAGTTGGCGAAAGCTTAAGAGATTCGTTAGATCAACTGCCGCTCTCGAAAGAGCTGACAACCATCAAGTGTGATGTTGAACTGGATATACATCTCACCGACCTTACCCCCCACGAACCCGACGAGAGCGCCCTGCGGGAATATTTTGCCGCATGGGAATTCAAAACCTGGGTAGAAGAACTGCAGGGCAGATCAGACCCTGCCTCTGCTGGCGCAGCAGCTGCTTCCTCGGAACAACCCGCTGTAGAAGTAGATTACGAATGTGTCACCGACGCAGCGACGTTAAAAGCATGGGTTAAGAAGCTCAAAGCGGCGGGCACCTTTGCGATTGATACTGAAACGACGTCTATCGATTATATGCAGGCGCACCTGGTTGGCTTTTCCTTTGCGGTTGAACCGGGTGAAGCCGCTTATGTCCCTGTTGGTCACGATTATGCAGGTGCGCCACCACAGCTGAGCCTGGAAGAAGTGCTGGCTGCCTTAAAGCCCCTGTTGGAGGATCCTAAGCTGGTCAAGGTCGGGCAGAATCTGAAATACGACATGAGTGTGCTGGCGCGGTATGACGTTGCCGTTGCTGGCACCATCTATGACACCATGCTCGAATCTTATGTGCTTAACAGCGTGGCAACACGGCATAACATGGATGCGCTTGCGGGTTTTTATCTGGACCGCAAAACCATTTCGTTTACTGACATTGCCGGTAAAGGCGCCAAACAACTGACCTTCAACGATGTCGGTGTGGAACAGGCGACAAACTATGCGGCAGAAGATGCAGACATTACGCTGGCCCTACATCATGTCTTGTGGCCGCAACTGTCCGCACAGAAAAAGCTGCAACAGGTTTTTGAAGATATTGAGATTCCGCTGGTACCGGTACTGTCCGCAGTAGAGCGCCATGGCGCTCTGGTGGATGGACGTTTACTCAAACAACATAGCGCCGAGCTGGCTGACCGATTGCAGACTCTGAAAGAAACCGCCTGGGACCAGGCGGGGGGTGAATTCAATCTGGACAGCCCGAAGCAGCTGCAGGAAATTCTGTACACGAAACTGGAATTACCGGTGTTGAAGAAAACGCCCAAAGGCGCGCCGAGCACTGCCGAGCCCGTGCTGGTCGACCTTGCTCGGGATTATGAATTGCCGGCAACGTTGATCGAATATCGCAGCCTGGCGAAGCTCAAGTCGACTTATACAGATAAGCTGCCTCAGCAGATCAATACAGAAACAGGACGTATCCACACGTCTTATCATCAGGCCGTAACGGCCACTGGTCGCCTGTCTTCGTCAGACCCGAACCTGCAGAACATTCCGATTCGCAACGCTGAAGGGCGTCGCATACGTCAGGCTTTTGTTGCACCCGCAGGCAAGGTGGTGGTGGCAGCGGACTATTCCCAGATCGAGCTGCGGATTATGGCGCACCTGTCCCGGGACAAAAGCTTGTGTCAGGCCTTTGCAGATGGTGAAGATATACACCGCGCCACCGCAGCTGAGGTGTTTGACCGTTCGCCTGGCGACGTTACCGATGAGGAGCGCCGCAGCGCAAAAGCCATTAATTTCGGTCTGATCTATGGCATGTCGGCTTTTGGTCTGGGGCGTCAGCTGAGTATTTCGCGGACACTGGCGCAGGACTACATTGATCGTTATTTCGACCGTTACCCCGGCGTTCGTCGTTATATGGACGAAACCCGTGCTTTGGCCAGTGAGCAGGGTTATGTAGAAACCGTTTTTGGCCGGCGTCTCTATTTACCCGACATCAACGCGAAAAATGGACCACGTCGTCAGGCTGCCGAGCGGACCGCCATTAACGCGCCGATGCAGGGGACCGCTGCGGATATCATCAAGCGCGCCATGATCGAAGTCTTCTACTGGCTCCGCGACAGCAAACTGGACGGAGATATGATCATGCAGGTCCATGACGAGTTAGTCTTCGAAGTGGCTCAGGACGATAGCGCTGCTCTGATCGAGGGTGTGACGAGGTTAATGCAGGATGCAGCAGAGCTTACGGTACCGCTTATTGTGGATTCAGGGGTGGGGGCAAACTGGGATGAGGCGCATTAGCCACCCAGGCGCGAATGTGTTCAATCAACTCATTGTTGCCGGTGCCCTTCAGAGCTGAAAAGCACTGTACCGACAGACAGGGGTGGTCGGGATAGTTCTTTTTGAAGGCACTTTCCGCACGCTGGCTTGCCGAAAAGCTGAGTTTGTCAGCTTTGTTGAGCAAAACCCGTATGGGTAGCTCTGATGCAGCGCTCCAGTTGATGAGTTCTTCATCGTAAGGCTGCTTTGGATGGCGAATATCGGTGACCAGAACCAGGCCGACCAGGCTGTCGCGTTTGGAAAGGTACTGGTTAACCGATTTCTGCCACTGTGCCTGGGCAGTTTTACCTGCTCTGGCATAGCCATAGCCGGGCAGGTCGACCAGTCGTCCACCGCTGGCGAGGTCAAACAGATTCAGTAATTGGGTGCGTCCGGGCGTTTTGGACACCTTGGCCATACGCCTGTTACCGGTGATGGTGTTCAAAACCGAGGATTTACCGGCGTTGGAACGCCCGGCAAACGCCACTTCTGGTACCCCATCACGAGGACAGTGTTTCAAGTCGGGTGCGCTGGTTAAAAAGGTTGCGTCGAGACGCTCCTGAAGGGGCACTTTTTGGTTCATGTTGTTATATAATCCGCGCGCCCTGCCGTTTTGGCGCCA